CAGTATGATGAACATAACGGAAAGTTCGATGTGCACCCACATGATTTCAGCATTAATTTACACACATGTATATAGACACCGGGAAAGAAGATTGAATACAGTTCAAGTTTTTTCATACATAAGACGGAACTATTAAATACAATTCAAGTTTCTTCACTCAGACCTCAAAAGATAAAGAATGAAGGTTGTTATTTTAATCTTACATGACTAAATTTGAATATTTGGGTACAATAGGTATTAAAACGATAACAACATACTTGAAGGTTCTTTTGCTATCTGTATCATCAGAAAGGTCATCAGCAATATAATACAGCAGTTGCTCGACTTGAGCTCAATCTCTCAAACTGAAACCAACCTAATCAATTCTCAAGTAAAAGGGGAGAACCAAAAGTTTGTGATTCTATCAAATAGTGGAACTGAATAATTTTATCGCACATGATGTTAAATGAGGTAAGTAACTAAGCAAGGAGTACAAACTTATAAGGCGGTTTTTAATGCTTTGCATTCTTGAATGATTATTTCTTCACCAAAAGATCTTACAATGCAAATTTTTCCTTGTCCATCACAACTTAAACCTTAAACTATAATAAGCATTTATCAGGAGTCAAAACACTACCTAGTGTAGAACTTGACAGTAATAGGTCAGCAGATTTAAATTGAAATGAAGAGAGAACAATGAGTGTGTATATCAATATGCAATATGCTGGTTTAGATTTACAGTAGAGCCTAAGCTTAACTATTTAACTTTTAATCCAATCAGTAGTAAAGTGGATATTTTTCACAATCTACAAAATTGTCTTATTTTAATTTGTTTAACTCTATATTATGAAAGCTTCAAGTATTAGCATTCCAGTGTTAAATATAAATCGTTTCATGTCAAAAAATAGCTATATTGATGGTGATGTGTCCTGTGTATATACACATACCAGTAGCAAGTATCTGCAAGGTAAGCACGCAAATATAACTTTAAGCATTAGGGAAAAAAAATCAACTTTAATATATAGAATCATGTTAGAACATATTAGAACCAACGCCTGAACCATAATTTTTTTTTTTTTATCAAGAACGTCTTGTTAGCCTTTTTAAGTGTAAGAATACAATTCGAGTATAGAGGTTTCTCGCATAAATACTCAGAATTGTACAAATAAATCTCAAATAGCTTTTTGCTCTTGCCTCAGTCAGCAACAATTTGTACATACTTTCATGCTTCTCTTGTAGAAGAGCTCTCCCGCAGGGCAAAGGATCTAGCCTTGTAAAAGAGCTCTTATAGTATCCTACCTCAAATTAATGGAAACCAATGCCATCGTTTAATATACGGCAATAGGTTATTTTTATGAGCAAAACATAGTTTATAAAAAAACTAAGTTCTGTTAGAATAGTGAATAGTCATCAATCAGCTATTTCACATCTCAACACCACATCTCATTAAAAAACATATCAAACAACTACTCAAATAGAGAGTTCTTAATATCTCATATTCTGAGCACTCAACTCCACACTTTTAACCAATCTGGCGATAGATCTACGCAGCAACAACAATTTAAGTAAATTCCATTCGACTTGGATTTCAATGTAAACAAATATGGCTAACAAAACAAAAGGAGACACTAATCTGTATACAATACCACATGGTGACAGGTGAAATGAAAGAAAGATGAAGCCAGAATCAATAAATAAGACAAAAAGTTCAGCCATAAATACCGGAATGTATCACCAGAATGAATCAATTCGCTGCTCTCCGAGTTTCCCTATCTTACAGTTGTCGGTGCGCTGCCCTACTGGGTCTCCCTCTGTGAGGGATTGTTGAATTAGTGGTATAATGAGTTTTTTCTATGCATGAAGAACGACAATTTATATTGTACACTTCTGATGGTCATTTCTATTATGCAACTCTCCAAGCATTTCTAATTTAAGGGAAGATCATAGACCCACATTTTACATGTCAATCTTAATATGAGAGCTTCAATGAAAAAAAATAACCCTTCATTTAAAGAATGAATTCAAATCCGACCAATGAAATAATATACCTTTTTTCTCAACAACAGATGATTGAAGAGACACCGAGAATTGTTGTTGTTGTTGGAGCCCTCCGTATTGCTTCTTTAGTAAATTCTACTTGAGTTTGTTCTCACGGATCTCGACCATGTTATCCCCCCTACAACGCCTCCCCTAGTCAGCGTCCACCGCATCCTTGTAGCGGCTACAACAAACCTCCACTCTAGTACCATGTCGATCCAAAAACCTAAAAAACTTCAGATTAATAAAAAACATATCGGTGAAATTTTTTTTGTAAATAATCCTTGCGAAGACTATTAAAAAACCGTTCTTTGCGGTTAAACTTGAAATGTGTTTTCAAATTCATGTTATCTTGTTTCAGAGAAGCTTGAAAGTCGCCAAAATGTAGTCCATTATGTTTCAATATTTTAGGACCTGGAGACGAAAAATGAGCAGAACAGTTTACTATGAATTACTAACACACTTTTCATTTTCTCGCCTTTTTTCTGTTAAGTTTTTTGAGTTGTAACGAATAAGAAAGTCTTACGTTCTCGGTGCTAAAGAGGTCGATTAGGCTACCGGCTACTGGGATGAGAACTTGTGTTACATTTGATTCCTGTGAGAAAAAGGTAGGTTTGTTTACACACAAAAGCTAAAGAAAAACATAGATAGTTGAGTCGATAAATAAGGCTAGTGTGTTCGCAATATTTTAAGAGTGATTTTTGGAGATCACTGGTTATTATGACTAAACTTTAGGGGTAATCAGAACAAGCTGTGGCACTTCCGGATTTGATTTTTCTAATTATCCAAAGGTTTCAACTCAGACATGATAATCATCTAGTATTTTACAACAATTAATATTTCTCTTACCAAAACCCATCTGAGAGGTGTTACACACATCACGTAGAGGAGGACTCCCTTCTCAGATGCATATAATTTGCAAAAAGCTCGGTGATGTATTATTTTTACCAACATCCTGTAAAATTTAACTTTTAATCTAAGTGATATCATCGGCATCTGAAAAACAAAGTTTTAACAAATTTGGAGTAATAAACCAACAAGCTCCATGGGGACTTACAAGGTGCACATGGGTTTTCGAAGAAAAGGACATTGAATTGAACCATGGTGGCAATTCAACTGTAGTAAGACATATAAATGGAAAGGTTAAGTATGGTCTTTAGTCTCATACCAGGATATGTAAATCATAAAATGACTGAGTCAACATGACCATTTTTGCATACATGAGCATAAGTAAAAAAGAATAGATCTTGATGCAAGTTCGACAAAATCATAGAATAAAATCAAAATTAACGAAAGAAATATATATCCATGGATTGACAAGCTACAGATAGCACAAAGTACCTCCATAATGTTGGCTTTAACTCCATCCGACGTTCTTCAGTATCACGAGCCAAAAGGCGGCTGTAAGAGAAGTTGTGGAAGAAACCCCTCATCTCCTTCAACTTGGTCTTGGCAACGGCCATCTCATGAAGTGAACGTAGGGCCTGAGTCCTCTGTATGAGATAAGCCCTAGAACTCTTCTGAATAAGAACCGCTGCATTAAATGGAGACAACTCATTCCTCTTACCCTGACTGTTATCCACTTTCTTGGCAAAAACCTGAGAGGAATTCCTGTCGAGTCTTTTCTGCATCAACATTTTAACATATGTTGGAGCTTCATTAAGTTGCTCATCTTAAATAAAAGCAGAAAATAACATTGTCGGATAAAAAATTATTCAATGTAATACTCGTTGCAACTAATATTAATCTAATCTCAAAACAGGCCACCGCATACCAACTTCAACAGCCATGAATGAGGAATGTTCATACACTCTCACTCCACATTTCAATGTTTTTATTTCAACTTGAACGAGTTTCCACATTAAAGCTAAAAACATATTGTTCTTATCAATTTCCACATGACACTATAACAGTTGAATAGTGCAATACAAGCAAAACACAATGGAAACAAAATAATACCATAAACAATTAACGAAGCAAATTTGGATCAAATAATCTACCGCTAAAAAGGATTCAATTTACTTATGGAGGAGTCCTGAACACAATGCCAAAGACTTTGTTCTCGTCCTCATTCAACACCGACGTGATCCCAACGCCCAGTCTTCTTGTGCTTATACAGAGCTGCCCGAGAATTACACTCCACGATGAATTCCTCCGACAACTTCTCGAACCGAGTTTCTCTGCCACGTCTTCATACGCTCCCAAAACCTCTGGAAAATAAATCAACAAACAGATTATCACTAAAGTCAAATTTAGCTCAACAGATACACATATATTCGTATATACACATATGTTGCTGAATGGAAAGGAAGACTGCTCAATTTACCAGGCGGTGAATGAACAGCTAAAGTGGATACCGTGCGCACGGACAGAGGGCAGAAGTGTCTTTTCAGCTGAAGAGAAGTGGGGGATACTGGCGGAACGAGGCCGACAAAAACGATAGATATTATATTCCCATATCTATTTTACTCTGCACCATATTTTATCCAATAAAATGAAACAAATATGATAAATAAAGATAAAGGAAAAGATTACTTGAATTGAATCGGGGCAGCATGGACAGATGAAGGGCCCGACGACCCACCACGGCAACACGACCACCACATCCAATCCATTTTTCTCCCCAAATTCCAGAGACAATTTCTCGGTCGCCGTATTCGTCACCACATAAGCCTCTGCAAACATCCGCAGCGACCTCAGGAACTCCCCGTCGGCCCACGACCTCTCGTAAATGGCGGCCGGGGCGCCAGATCGAGATGAACAAGTAACGGCGCCGCACGCCTGCAGAATAGCCCGGGTCCCGATGGTGACGCGTCGGGCCTTCACCTCCTCGCTCTCTCTCTCTCTCCTCGAAGTCCACCACCGCGGCCATGTGGAAGAAGCCGTCGCAGCCGTCGACAGCTGCGGCCAAGGTATCGGAACCGTCAGATCAGCCGAGGACATCGCGAAATGAGAGAAAACTGAGAGTAATAGGTTGGGTAGGGTTTGCAAAAAAGGTAGAGATTTTGTCTAATGTGGCGTGTGCGAGATTTCTGCGAGAATGAAGAAAGAAGTCAAAAAAAAGCAAATTAGATTTTCTGGGAAAAAGCAGAAAAATTGAAGGCAATTCAAGTGGAGGGCTATTTCGGTTAAAAAAAGGGCAAAAACAAGGATATTTTTGTCCAAAAAGGACACTGTCAAGCCCAGAATTGGTCCTTAATGTCTTCTTATATGTATAGTAGAGATATGGGATGTATCAAATGAGGCCAGCTCTTAAAATAAGGCCAGCTCTTAAAATGCGGACACTAACCTAACTGTTTAGTATAGATTTGATGGGCAAGGGATAACCGAGTTAC